CCACAGCTCAATCTCTCCTTGTCCTGGGAGACACACCGAGGCCCAGAGCAAGGCAGGCCAGGCCAGACTCCCTGGCTGCCAAGTCTGGGTGGTCCCCCCCACACAGCAAGGGGCCTGGATGGTCTCAGAATGGTCTCCGGGCTCTAGTACCTCACCAGTGAAACAAGGACATTGTAAGAGAGGATGCCGAATCTCACTTTTAGCTCTCAAATGCTATTAAAAAAAAAAGTAATTTCTAATTCCCAATTCATACTCTGATAATGATGCCAGAATTCTAGATAATCTTAGAAGTTGCAAGAAACGTACTCAGGTTTTGGTGTATGGTCCATAGCGGAGTTGACAGTATGTGCAGGATAAAATCGGGCCGCTTATTCATATATTCAGCAAGCATGATTACTGAGGGCTCACTGTGCACGAGGATCAGGGAACAAGTTGTGAAGCAGGTGCACGGTCCCCCTCTTCCTGCCTGGCCGGATCGTACTTGAATGCTGACAAAGATGAGAAAACACATATGGAAGGATGCACCTGCCACTGCTCACCCATTCACTGTAAGAAAGGAAATTCTCTAGCTAACCTATGTTTGGTTTCTTCAAGAACACCCCTCCATCTTGCAGATCTCATCTCCGGCCCAGACTTCTCTCGTGGCTTCCAAATCTAAAAACATCTCACCAACAACATGCCTCAAATTCAATCCGCCCAAAGCTGGGCTAGTTATCATTTCTCCCAAAGTGGTTCCTGTTCCAGTGTTGCCATCAGATTGATGACACCACCCCGGGGTAGCACCCATGTCAGTACCCAGGTGAGAAACCTGGGCCCTCCTCAGCCAAGTGTCCCTGAGTCCTGTTGGCCGCACAGTTTGCAAGTGCTGTAGCATCCAACCGCCTGGGTGGGGGTCTCAGCTCCACCACCTGCAGGTTGTGTCTCTTTGGTGGATTGCCTCAATTTCCTGATCTGTAAAGTGGAGATACTAATTCAGTGGTGTGCAGGTTGAGGGGCAGCTCTCTGGGAGGGGAAAAAAAAAAACAGAGAAAGCTCTGCTTTATAACTGTGGCTGATTTCCATAACGTAAAGACTCCCACCACAGCTGATCGAGAGCCACCAACGTGATGTGTCTGGGAAGAAATGTGCGCAGTCAGCCTTCATGGGCCCGTGCGAGAGAGCGGACTCCCGCACCACAGGACCCGGGAGGAGGGCAGCTGCCTTCCCAGAAGGCAGATCATCCTATCTAGAGTGCCTGGCAGTAGGCATGGAGGCTTTGAAGAGGGCATTTTGCAGGGAGGTTCATGGCTAAATCAAGGTTGAATTTTGAGTCTTAAGTTGGGACAGCAAGTCTACTTATAGAGACACAATATTTGGTGGAAAGAGCACTGTTCTAGGAGTCAGGAGATCTGGAGTCTGGAGTTGCTGTGTGACCACAGGTCAGTCCTCTCCTCTCTCTGAACTTATTTCCTCTGCTGTAACGTGACAGGATATCATGTAAAGTCTGACGCTCTAAGATCCACATAGTCCTTCCTTTAAACATCTCTGGAGGCTCTTACTGCCTCCCCCACATTTTGTGACTTAAGACCTTGTCCTTCCCAGTCCTCGATGGCACAGTAAATCCCATGAGGACAGGGACTGTGCACTTCTCATTCTCTGTCCCCTGCCTGGTGCCCTGCATATAATGGCACTCAGAAAACTGGATGAAATAGATTTTCCATTCGTAGGTGGCCATCAAATCCTGCAGCTCCCCTGGTTTCCCTCTGACATGATGACACCTACTGGTCTTAGCAGAAACAGCACCCTCCTTATTCCCGACCTAAGATCCGATGGGAATGTAAATAGCCTGCGGGCTGCCGGTGCATTAATGGTGGGGTGTGGGAAGGTCGGGCACATAGTAGGTCCTCAATAAATATTTCTTGAATCAGCAAGAGGAAGAATATGTGTCTGTCTTGGATTTCTGTTATCCTTTGAGTGTTTTTCTGTTTCTCCCTCTCTCTCTCTCTGACTTTGATTCTCTGCCTCTTTGTCTCTGTCTCCCACAGGAAATGGTAGAAGCCATAACCAGTGCTGTGACAAAAAAGTAGCAACAGTTAAGAAAGGATGGCAATTTTTCAATTTCCCAGATGCTTCCTTGGGAGGTCTCAGTTTATTTCTCCGCAGAGTCAGCCGGGGAGGACCATGTTTCCACGTGAGCCTTGCAAAGGTCAGGAGCACGTGAGCGCTCTGTCAACAGAAGACAGGGGCCCCCTGAACCTTCGGGGGGGTTCTCCATGTGCACGTGCTCTGCCGGCTGTTCTAGAAGTTTTCTAGTCCAGGCCTGTGCCTCCCTCAGAATCTCCTTCCATATATCCTCGGAAAGTAAGAAGGAAATCTCTTTGTCCCCTCCAAAGTGCCAAGAGAACGGAATTCTGATGTCTCGTGGCAAGGCCACTGTCGAGGGGGAGTTCCCTGTCCCTGGCCGATTTCAGCAGTCCTCAGGCTCCCTTGTCTCAGAATAATGGGGGATGATAGTGGGGTATCAACCCCGCAGAGATTCAGGCCCCACCCCTGAGAACCAGATTCCACCAGCGTGGGGGACCAGGGCTCTGGAGCGGCAGGTCAGAAGTTCCCACGTTGAGCACCACTGGGTCCACGCACAGTCCTGCCAGGTTCAGCCGCAGGCCTCGGTGTCCCTGCCTGTGCCTCTGCTCCACCTGTGAAGGAAACCGCCGTCCTTTTTAGGATCCAGAAAAGGGGCATGACACAGATGCACCCCTATGTTCCTCCTTATAAGCGAGGCGAGCCTTCCGATGCCCCTCACGGCCCGTTAGTTAGAGCCACCTTCACAAACCCGTGTCCCACCTAAGCACTGGCTGGGGGTGGCGTCCCCATGGGGGGGGTCAGACTAATCATGGATCCCCTCCCCAAGGCAGAGGCCTAATACAAGGACCAAATTGGGATTCCATTCCCAAATCAGAAAGGGAAGGCTTCCACAAAGAGGAATGTATTTGAAGACTTTCTTCAAAGATAAGATTTTGGGAAAAAAAAAACAAACCTTTTTTTCCCACACTTAATCCCCCCAAATGAATTCTAATATCAGCTTTCAGACAGAGTGTGCAGAGTCTTCTAGAAGTCCCTTAAAACTGATTTATCCTCATCCCTAAGAAAAAAGTTATGCAAAAAACAAAGCAAAACAGAATTCAGAGCAATCTTCCATAGACACCAAAGAGTGCGCGGTTGGCTGGCCGTTTCTAAGGCTGAGAGGCCGCGGCTGGCCCTTTCCAGCACTCGTTTCCCAGAATCCCCTGGGCCCGCCCCCCCGCTGCTGGCCTGGGTGAGGATGTGGCCACACAGCCAGTGTCTCCCCAGATGTGCCCCTACCAACCAAAGCCACCTTGATGCACTGCATCTTAAAGTCCAAGCCCCCAGTCTTCCCTCCAGCATCCCCCTACTCCCTGAATCCATTCCCCTGCTAACCTTCCATCCATCCATCCACCCACCCATCCAGTCACATGCCCAATGACACCCACTGAGCTCCTGCCCTGGGACCACTGAGCGAGGCAACAGGGATCTAAGGTAGCCAACAAGACAGAGAAGACCCCTGTTCTCAGGCCACTGTCATTTCAACGGAAGGAGACAGACCATAACGTGGAGCAATCAAGAAATAAGGTGATTCTGGCTGATGCTAAGTGTTTGGAAAGAAAAACTGGGGAAGGTGATAGAGAGTCTGTGGTAGAGGAGGGCACCCAGGGAGGGCCTTTGCGAGGCGGGGGAGATTGGAGTGAGACAGGAAGGAAGAGGATACTGGGGGAGATGCTCCAAAGGGAACCTCAAGTGGAAAAGCATGAGGCCGGGCTGACCGAAGGCAAGCAGGAGTGGGGAGAAGAGGGCAAGGTGCAGCGCCCCAGCTAGGGGGAGACATAAGATGGTGTCCCCAGGGCCCCGCGAGGGCTGCCAGGCTCCGCCAGCCACGCATGACTTCCACCTCTGCGGCTGGTATTCCAGTCCGGGGAATGGGGACAAGGCTGGGCTGGGGGTGGGACCAGGATCGGGTACCAAACTCGGTGCTGTTCACCATGATTAATTAACCCAGAGCCAGAGCCCCGAGGCGCAGTGCTAAAAATACCTGCTTCTCTCTGAGATACGGCAGCTGCCACCCAGCAACTTTTATCCATCACCATTTGTCATAATTTGACGCTGATAAGGAGTGTCCACGGGGCTGTGTGTCTGCAAGGATCAGACTCGTCCACAGCCCACCAGCTGGTCGGTGGACACTGTCCCAGGCGTCTTCCTACCCGAACTCTCCTCCTGTCCCTGAGCCCCGCCTTGGCCACCCCTGGGTGTGCCCGCCACCTGCCCACCGCCTGCTGGGTTTGCCTCCCCTCCTGGAACCAGAGTGGACCCGCCCCCAGGAGTGTGTGGTTGGGGTGGGAGCCGAAGCAGGAGCGCAGCAGGGGATGCCAGGTTTCACACCATTGCAACCCTGCAACTGGGATTGGAGCCATCCATCAGAGGCCCTGCCAGCCCAGGGCAGCACTTTAATTAAAATATGTAAAACATCCTGGTGGGAGTGGATCTGAAGACACAGGAGCAGTCCTTGGACACAAGTAGCGCAGGCGGGCCCAGCCGGTGGAGCTGGCCCTTCTCCAGCCCCAGAGGCTGAGGACTGCGCCAGGCGGGCCCTCCGAAGCAGTCCGGGCATGGAGCTGTCTGCCTTGCACCATCTACCGGCTCCATCCGGCGCAGAACTTAGCTGGAGCAGAACATCTACAAGAAAGAGAGCCTCGCAGGGCCAGCACAGTAACCTTCAGAGCGTGCCGGGAAGGGCCTGGCATCACCCCGGTTGGAATAGCCTGTTCCCACTCTCACTAATTTTCTTAAATGACCCATCGTGAAGCTGGTACCTGGATGTTTATATAAACTTTTGAGCAAAGCTGTATCCATTTCCCGTACTAAATGAGCTGCTCAAGTTTTCTGCATTCAGACTGCCTTCTGTGTTGACAGGAAGGGTGGTCTGGGCTGTTTAGGACAGCAAGGAGCCAACTTTTCTTTGCACAAAGGTTAAATCCGAAAAAAATTATGGGCCCC